ATTGGTGTGTGTTATCTGGCTTCATAGACAGATAGAGCTGGGTGTCATCTGCATAGCAATGTAAATGTATGCTATGTCTTCTAATGATGCTGCCTAAGGGAAGCATGTATAATGTAAACATGCTTCCACAGGGTTCCTATCACTGAACCCTGTGGAACTCCATAACTGACCGTAGTGTGTGGAGGACTCTCCATTTACATGCACAAATTGGAGTCTATTAATTAGATATGATACAAACCACTGCAGCACAGTACCTGAGATACCCACAACGTGCTCTAATCGTGCTAATAGAATAGTATGTTCAACAGCATTGAATGCTGCACTAAGGTCTAACAGGACATGCACAGAGATGAGTCTACTGTCAGAGGCCATAAGAAGATCATTTGTAACCTTCACTAAAACTGTTTCTGTGCTGTGATGAGCTCTGAAACCTGACTGAAACTCTTCAAATAAACCATTCCTCTGCAGATGATCTGTTAGCTGTTAGCTGTTTGACAACTCTTTCAAGGAACACTTGCTCCTTGCAAAGAATATTGTTATTCAGGAAGTGATCGATATTGAAGTTTTTAATTCTGTACACTGTAAATTTACAGGAGTGCTGGCATCATGACCCAGCTCTAACTAAGCAGCAAAGCACGAGCATGACCAAGAGCTTTGAACTGATGCTAACTTAATATAGCAACCAATCTGCACATCACAGGATGTGATCTGTTTAGCTGGGCTCTCTGGTGTTCCTTTGGAAAACCAGCAGTTTCCTTACCGTTTATTTAAGTGGCACAAATTGTTACTTTATGAGAAAAAAAAAAAACTGCAAAGACAAACTTTCATTTATTCTTTAATTTTAATTTAGGACTCAACTTAGTAGTAGCATGCAAAAAACAAAGTGTTTACAAACACTAACCAAACTGGAAACAGGGATACTGGAGATGTATACAGTTCCAGTCTGTAAGAAGACACACAATGACAAAGTTTCACTGATCCTTTATCCTTTATTTTAAAGTGAAGTTTTCAGCACAATCATAAAAACACAAATACTTAAGTTTTACATCAAAACCAAGCGAACTGTCCACAGTGCAGGAACAGTGCTGCAGCCCATAGCTTATACTCTGCTGTTTACTGATGACACCATGTGGAGGTGGGAGGCACTGCTCTTTCACAAAGAACAGCTTCTCAAGTCATTTCAGATTACACTCCAAAGTATCACAGTGCTTACGGTCAGACTTTCAGTGTTGTATTAAGCAAAAACACTCGTTATTCAGTATAATAAGATAAATATTCAAAGTCAGAAATGTAAAAATATTAAATATCAGTATTAAAAGAACGACAGAGTAAACAAACAAAGAAATGTTTGGATTGCAGGAAATTATTCCTATTTGCAAATGAATCTCATAATTATGTCTTTAAGTATAAGAATATCTGATACAGATTCAGCATGTAGACAGAAGAGCTGCTGTTTGGTTATACAAACTTCCAGCATTTAAACATATAAACTGTCCAGCTTTTGTCCATGAAGGCTCTTCCA